GTTATTATCTAATTTTTGTAGATAATATTTCTTGATATACATGGATATATCCATTAATTCAAAAATCTAAAACTTTTGACTACTTTCAGAAATTTAAGCTTCTTGTTGAAAATCAATTTGGCACCACGATAAAGTATTTTCTAACTGATGGAGGAAATGAGTATATTAACGAAGTTTTTGCAGCTCTTCTTAATAATGCTAGCATTGAAACGACAATGATTATATTAACAAAATGGCAAGGCATAATGCAAACATCGTCATATTGTTGAACATGGTCTTGCTCTTTGTCATCATGCCTTCCTTCCACGAAAATTTTGGATTAAAGACTTTTCTACTGCAGTTTACCTCATAAACAGATTACCTTAACCCTGGTTACAACACAAGCACCTTATGAGATGCTCTTCAATCGACCTTCAGACTATGCTACACTTCGCATATTTGGGTGTCAATGTTTTCCCTTCCTAGGCGATACAAGGAAAAACAAAATTTCTCCAAAATTGGTGCCATGTGTTTTCTTGGGCTATGGAACCCAACAAAAAGGATATCGGTGCCTTGACCCACAAACTGGTAAAGTATATTTCTCTCGTCATGTTCGGTTCAATGAAGCTGTGTTCCCATTTACTCAACTGCTTACCACTGGTCCTCTTAAGCCATCTATATTACTTGAAGATTGGGTTACACCAATAGAACCTACATTACCTACATCTCATGGTCTGTTCATACCTCCATCGTTGTTACCTACACCACCAACTGTTACAATAATCCCACCAATTACCGTTCCTACATTGCCACCAACACCTCACACAGTCCCACCCATTCCCATTCCCACAGTGCCATCAAAATTTGTCATCACTTATCAAAAGTGACATATTATACCCTCACAACCTAGTGCTACAAACCATATTAACTCATTATTATGTGCTAACACAACCCAACCACCATTAAAACCAACCAGATCAGTAGATCCCATGGTGACTTGACTTTGTGAAGGTATTCTTCAACCTAAGAACCATTTTACAGGTCATGTAAGCAAACACACACTGCCAAGATGCCTCCAAAGTGTGGTTCATTTTCTTGTTGACGAGCCTATAAGTTATACCGAAACATCCAAATTACCTTATTGGCGAGTTACAATGCTTGATGAATATAATGCCCTTTTTCGTCAACAAACTTGGTCGCTTGTTCCAGCTTCTCAAGCCCAGAATGTCATCGGATGCAAATGGGTTTATAAGATCTAATGACATGTTGATGGCTTTATAGAACGACACAAGGAAAGACTTGTTCCAAAAGGTTACCATCAACAATATGGGCTGGATTTTGATGAAACATTTAGCCAGGTTGTTAAACCCCCTACCATTCGATTTGTCCTTTCTCTTGCCATAAATCAATGTTGGCCTATTCGTCAACTTGACGTTAAAAATGCCTTCCTACATGGAATTCTTCATGAAATTGTTTATATGAAGCAACCACCAGGTTTTATCAGTAAGAATTTCCTAATCATATTTGCCGTCTTCACAAATCCATTTATGGGTCGCGACAAGCACCAAGAACATGGTTTGATGGCTTTAATGCTACACTATTTGAGCTCGGATTTGTTCAAAGCAAAACTGATGCGTCTATGTTTCTCCACTGCGCTGACCATGATATCACTATTCTCCTTGTCAAGGTGGACAATATCCTCATCACTGGCTCTAGCAATGCTTTCATCTCAACAATCCTCACCAAACTGCGCAAGAACATTGAGATTAAAGACCTTAGGTCATTACACTACTTCCAGAGGAGTGAAGTTTACCATCATTCCCATGGTATCCAAATGAGTCAAACAAAATATGTTTTCAGCCTTCCAAAGACAACTAATTTCCTTATAGCTAAACCACGTTTATCCATCTTTGTTAATGGTTCTAAATTATCCTTATATGATGCTGGTGGCCTTTTTAATGTCGCATCCTATCGTAGTCTCATTGGTGCACTGCAATACCTCACCATCACACGCCCAGATCTTACATATGCTGTGAATCAAGTTTGTCAATTCATGCATCAGCCACGTGACGCACTTAGTTGTCGTTAAAAGGATTCTTCGGTACATCAAGAACACTCCTCATTTTGGCATCATCTTGTTAAATCTCATGATGAACATTTGAGGGGATTTTCTTATGCTAATTGGGCTAGTTCTCCAGATGATTGACGTTTTACTACTGGCTCGTGTGTTTACTTTGGTCCTAACCTCATCACTTGGGCCACTAAGAAGCAAACCACTGTTTCTAGATCAAGTGTTGAATTAGAATATAGGGCATTAGCACACACAACATTGAGTGGCTTACATTCCTTCTTCGAGAGTTGAAAATCCCATTACACCATCCTTCATTGTGACAATATCAGTGCTACATACTTAGCCTCCAACCCAGTTCTTCATGCCAGGACTAAACATATTGAGATTAGCTATCACTTCTTAAGGTATTTCGTGGCTCTCTAAAAATCATGTTTGTTCCAAGTGCTGACCAGACAACAGATTTCTTCCCCAAAGCTCTATTGGTACCCCGATTTCAATTACTAAGAGACAAGCTGCTGGTTCGTCCTTGCTCCACCACATCTTGAAGGCGGGTGTTAAGAGATTAACAAATGATATATTGGATAAACTAAAAAATCAGGTCAAAGGGAAATCCAGATAGGTTTGTTGAGAAAATCTCATATGAGTTTGTTGAGGGAATCTCTCCATCTCTCTCTTTTTGTTGTAACAACAAACAAATAAGTTTGTTGAAAAAATCTCTCATCTCTCTTTTATTGTTGTAACTATAAATACACAATTAAACACCATCATTTCAATGTGGTGAAATTTTTTCAAATTATTATCTTCTTCTCTCATCTATTCTCAATTTCTCACTATCACCTCCACCACCATCATTATCACCGCCACCATTTTCGCCCCCTTCCATCACCATCACCATCACCTACACTACCAAACAGCCGCTATCACCACCACTGCCACCTCCAGTAGCACTATCGCCAACTCCACTTCCTTCCACCACCACCACTGTCACCATTGTTGCCGTCTTCCACCTACACTGTCATCGACATCTCCGCCTTCCACCACCACTACCACCCCTGCCTTCCACCAATGCCTACACCACTACTGCCTTCCACCAATGCCTACACCACTACTGCCTTCCACCTACACCGCTGTCACTCCTCCACCACCACCACCTTCACCTACACCATTGCCACTTCCACCGCCGCCGCCACTTTCCAATATTATCGCTTACAACACTTCCACCTTCCACCTCCACCACCACCGTCATTGCCTTCCACCACCGCCGCCATTTCTTTTAAAAAATTTACAAAAGAATGTTATTTTGTTAGTTTTATTTATTTATCATTGAAAGAGGTATTTTGGAGAATTCAATTTAAAATTCATTTAGAATAGTAATTATCATTCCATTCCTACATCTTTTCATATTTGCAACCAATACTGAGAATAACCATTCCATTTCATTCCCATTCAATTTTCACTTACATCCCATTTCATTCAACACAACATTAATACATAGAATCCTATTGTGTTAGCTGGCATAAGCATAACAAAGAAACTCTCTCATCTTCTGAAATTATGCCTACAAGATTATGTATTAGTCTCGTTTTCATTTTTTTCAAATCTAACCAGACGTCTACATGTTTGAGCGTTGGATTAAAAAATTTATTAGATGATGCATTTGATGTTTTACAGATTTTAAAAAGTATTGAATTTTAGTAATTAAATAATAAGAGCTCGTGTCTCTTGAAATGAGATTTTTTTTTTTTTTTTGGTTGATATATATTTTTAAGAAAGTGTGTGGGCACATCTCACAAAAACTACACAAGGGCCAAAAAGGCCCGCTATTAGGGGTGAACACGGTTTTGTTTAGACTATTTTAGGAATATTTTGGAACTAAATCGGTCTTAACAGTGCCACAAAAAATGGAAACAAACCGAATCGTGATAACTAATAGAAACAAACCAAACTGAACAATGAGAAATCGATTTGGTTCGGTTCCACCGTTCTAGATGAAACAATGAAATTGTTCTAATCTCAAGAATTCAAGTCCTTGGAAGATCATTCATTGGTTTTAATAGGGTTGAAAAAAAGCCTTATATTTCATTACAAAAATCGGAAAATGTCACTATTTTCAGTTCTCTTTGACACTATTAGTTATTATATAGAAACAAACATGTAAAAGCACAACATCAAATAATAGTAATAAATATAATTATTATCCTTCCTATATATCTTGCTGCCAATCAAATGGATCAAAAGAGAAAACCTTATTACAAATAATAATTATAATAATTGTCAAAGGATTTATATATTTAACTTACACCCTCTCACCAATTTGGCGCTCCCCAAAGGCAGCATCTGTATTTTTTTTATATTTTTTATTGCAATATTGGGAGCAACAAGTGCAAATTTTTTTTTTACAAACTTACTTTCTTGAAAAACTCAGTACGGTGAATCCGAACTTGTAGGGATAGAAGCCTAATCCGATTCCCATCACGTGGCAGCGGGAATCCTGAAATTTAGGCATTGTGAGAGGCGATTGTTGACAAGTGGTATTTTAGACCTACCAAGTGTGGGGAGCTGCTTGTCTTCCCCTTGAAGGAGAGGAAGTTAGGGAGGTTAGCTTCATCGGAGGTGATATAGACCTTTTCTGGTTTCATCTCTTCTAAATTACAATGTCTTAATTTGATTTCTACGTAATTATACAGAATTTCTTCTGAAATCTAAATTTCATTTCTTTTTAAACCAGAGACTTGACAGAATGAATTGATCATTTTAGCCATTATAAAATATCCTCTTAATCTGAATATCCTGCCCTCATTTGCAACCACTTATGAAAGAACAACGTAATGGCTCTTATCCATTATCAATAAACTAATTACTATTACCAATACTAGCACTAATAAAATAACTAATAATCACTACAAATACTACAACAATGCAGATGACTAGCAGCTGAAACTAAAATTAATTTCCTACCAAACAAAAAACACTAATATTTATCTTATACAAACAATAAAACAAAGTTTCAGTCCATCACAACAATATAATAATTTGAGAGACAAAAAACACAAGAATTAAAATAAACTTGCACTTCAATGTACTACAAAACCAAAAAAAAGGCACCAGGTTTTCTCTCTCACACACTAGTGTGTAACAATGTTCATATATAAAACCTTACTTCGATCTCTCTGGCATTCTCTCTGAGTGTTAGTACAGTTGGGTTGTCTTGATGCATTAGAGGCAACTTCTGTGTTGATGCACTGGTATACGCAACACTTCTTCTGTCTTTGGGGTCTTCTTATCCTGTATAGGTAGAAATAAGGGAGATAAAATATAAACTCTATTTTGTCCCACACATAGACCATATTGACGCAGAGGATCAATGACAGCAAGTAAAATAATTAAGAATAGCAAAGTATTCTTTAAACACTCGAATCCACGAGAAGAAATTGAGAAAAGCTCTCAGAAAAATAAAAGAGATAACACTGTTCATGCGATGTTCACATGTACTGCATCACATATATGTTTACTCTTCTACTAGATAAATGTTCCCTTTTCGAGAGATTTGACTTGATAATCCTATTAAGACATGACAAACCAACAAGATTAGGAAAGAACAAGGACCATCTATGAGTTGCTATAATATTGTGGATGAAGGTATATGATCTACCTGTCCATGCACGTAGTAGGACTTCTGTATCAAAGGTTGTTTCGAATATTGCAAAGCCTCTATATATGGATGATATAGCTCTTAGTAGAGAGAGGCAGAGATGGAGGTGGATGGGGATTTTCCAGAAGTTATCAATACAAAGCTTCATGGTTTGCCTTGTCGAGTGACTGTGGAATATGAATGGAAGCCACAAACATGTGGAATATGCAAGAAGATGGAACACACTGATAAAATGTGCCCGCTGAACAAGAAGAAAGATATAAAACCTAAGGAGAAGTGGTTGTAAAAAGAGCAGATAAAGAAAAGGAAGTAGTGCCAAAGCAAAGTAATGGTGATACGTTGATGGCTTTAGAAATGCAGGAGGATAATGGAAGCACAGGAGGATATGGAGGGATTTACAGTGCAAAGAAAATCAAAAGGAAAATCAAAGGCAGCAAGACCAGTATTACAGCTTCAAGTTTCTTTTCCTAATGCATTCCAGGTGCTTGATGAGTTTACTGCTAGAGATGGGATTGGGGAACAAACTTTGGATTTTAATCAGGAGAGTGAAATGGAGCCAGAAAAGAGTGAGGAGGAGGATGTTTATTCAGAGGAGAATGAGATATCTCATGTAACTGTTATTGAAGATGATCCTCTGAACCAAGAGAAGGATGTGTCCCCAAAGTCAACTGGGAAACAAGCTACAGGGGAGGGGGGACATGTCTCACCAGAGGGAGGTAATTCCTCAAAGAAACAGAAAAAGAAGGCTAAAAAGAAAGAGGTAGAGATTGATCCTAGTGTTAGAATTACCAGAGGTATGCTTGCAGTTGGGGTTCATCCACCAACATCCCTTTCTCAATGATAGGAATGTGGAATGTCAGAGGGCTCAATAGGTATGCTATGCAGAAAGAAGTAAGACCTGGTTGAGTAGTTCCTCAATTGTTTTGTGTGGTTTGGTGGAAACTAGGGTTAATAGTAATAAGTTCCAAAGATTAACAGATAGAATTAGAAATAATTGGACTTGGGAGAATAATTATTCAGCGGATGCAGGTGGAAGAATTTGGTGTGGCTGGGATCCAATGAGAATTAGGGTTTCTGTACTGGTGGTTAGAGATCAGATGATATTATTGCAAGTTGAGGTTAGAGGCTCAAATGCAAAAAAATTTGTGACTTTTGTGTATGCCAAGAACACAGCTATAATGAGAGGAAAGGTCTGTGGAGGGATCTTGAGGAGTGTGCTCATTTAGTTACTCGACCATGGCTGTTGATGGGTGACTGGAATGTGGTAAGATTTAATGATGAAAAGAAAGGAGGTAGAAGACATCCACCTAGAGTGTTCCTTGATTTCAATCAGACAATTGACAATTTATGTTTGACAGATGTTCCAACATCAAATGGTTTATACACCTGGTGTAATAATAGACACTCCAATAGAAGAATTTATGCAAAACTGGACAGGCGATTAATGAATGAGAACTGGGGGCAGGTTTTTCCAAACTCTCACATTGTGTTGACACCCCTTTAACTTCAGATCATTGGGGTTTGAGTATGGATTTCCCTTTACAGATTGTTGATGGCCCTAAACCTTTTAGATTCCTTTCTGTTTGGAATACTCAATCTGCTATGAAAGATTTGATTGCTGATGTGTGGAAGATTAAGACAAGTGGGGATCCAATCAAAAGGTTGTTATATAAATTGAAACTCACCAAACAAGCAGTTAGAAATTGGAATAAGGAAAAGTTTGGTTCTGTTTATGAAAAAGTTATTTCTTGTAGGAAGAATCTTATTGATTTACAGTAGCAGTTGAAAGATGATCCTATGAATGAAAGGCTTATTCAAAAGGAGGATGAAGATAGGATATCTTTAGAAGCTGCCATCTCAAATGAATCAATTACTCTTGCTCAGAAATCCATAATCAAATGGGTGAAGGATCAAGATAGAAGTTCCAAAAAAAATTTCCAAAAAATTAAGCAGCATAGGGCAGGAAATAATGTCACAGCTATTCAGGAGGAAGGGGGCTTTATCACTGATCAAAATATCATCAAAAGTAGGTTTGTTGAACACTTTCAGAGGGCATATGCAAATGATCAACCTGCTTCATGTATTCCAGAGGCCAGATTTATCAGAAATACTCTCAATCCTGAAGAGGTTGCTATGTTGGAAGATGTATCAAGGGAGGAAATAAGGAACACAGTATTTTCAATGGGCCCTGATATAGCCCCAGGTCCAGATGGATTCACCACCAGATTCTTTCAACAATTTTGGAGCATTATTGGAGAAGATTTTACTGATGCAATATTGAAGTTTTTCTCACATCCAGACTTGGGCAGAGGGACAAACAGCACCTTCATAACACGGATACAAAAGAAAAAAGATGCATTGAAGGTTGGTGACTAAAGGCCTATATCTTTATGTAATGTCTTTTACAAAGTCATTGCGAGGATTTTAGCTAATAGACTAGCCAAGGTTTTGGGGAAGCTTGTGGATAAGGAACAAACTGCCTTCATCCAAGGTAGAAAGATTCAAGACAACATTATTATTGCTCATGAACTCCTGAGAGGATTTGGTGCAAAGAGAGCAAAGCCTACTTTGGCTTGGAAAATTGATTTGAGGAAAGCTTATGATACAGTTCAATGGTCTTTTTTGACAAATACAATGAAGCTGTTTGGCTTTGGAAGTACTTGGATTAATTGGATACAAGTGTGTTTATCTTCTGTTTGGTTTTCCATTATTGTGAATGGGTCTCCTAATGGAATTTTCCAGCTTGAGAGAGGGTTAAGACAAGGATGTCCTTTATCTCCTCTTCTTTTTACTCTTGTTACAGAGTATTTTTCTGGAATGATTGATGCTGAGGTTAAGAGTGGTACTATTTTCCCTTCTGTAGCTGCAAACAAAGTTGGTTTACCTATCACACACCAGTTCTTTGCTGATGATCTTCTTGTGGTAGTCAGAGCTAATATGGCAACAGCTCTTACATTAAAAAGAGTCCTGAAATTGTTTGAAAAAGTGTCAGGTTTTAGCTGTAAACAAAGACAAATCAAAACTGTACTTCACTAGATCAGTTAAAAAAAGAACAGCTGTGGTGAGGGCTTTGGGCTGCAAAGTTGGAAGTCTTCCTTTTACTTACCTGGGACTACCTATTTCTGATAAGATGTTGAGAAGAAGGGACTGTCTTAGTCTGATAGATAAAGTCATAGCTATTACTTCTAGATGGAATGGTATGCATTTATCTATGGCTGGGAGAGTGGAGCTTAGCAGAGCTGTCATCATTCCTATGGTACACTACTGGACTTCAGTATACACTCTACCTGCTATGGTCTCAAACTTAATTGAGAGAAGAATGAGGAATTTTATTTGGGGGCATGTGGAAGACAGAAAGCAGATGCATGGGCTGTGTTGGAAAAAGCTTGCTGCTACTAAAGAAGAAGGGGGGCTAGGGCTGCGAAGAATTGTGGACATTGATTTAGCTTCAAAATGTAATTTGGCCTGGGATTTCTTATTGTCAAAGGACAGAATATGGGTGGCATGGTTTGAGAAGTGTTACTTGAAACAGGCTTTTTGGAATGTGGTGCCTAAGGTAACATGTTCTTCTATCTGGAAGAGTATTATTGCAATACGAGATGTTATCAAGGTGAATTGTAGGTATAGAATTGGGAATGGCCAAAACATAAAGCTGTTTTTAGACCCTTGGTGTGATGGTCAGTTTTTGGGGGATCTATTTAGTCACAGGCTGTTGGGGTCGCTCAGCAGAAATAAGATGAGCTGCTTAAGTGAGTTTATTGTTAATAACCAATGGGATGATGAGTGTTTGATGAATACAAATCAGGAAGTGCTACAGGTGTTTCACAGACAGAAGATTTATGGTGGGGAGGATATCTTGAGATGGAAAGATAATTTCAGTTTCAAAGCTGCTTGGGAGGCCTGTAGAACCAAATACCAGGTTGTAAACTGGTGTGGGCCGTGCTGGAGTGGAGGGAGACCTAGATGGTCAACTCACTCCGTATTGGTGCTGTAGAATGCTGTTCTTACACAGTCGTATATGAAGAGAAAAGGTTTTTCTCTAGCTTCGAGGTGCTGTCTGCGTTTAGGTTAGGAAGAAACACTGGACCACTTGTTTTGCAGCTGTGTTTACACATGGAAGGTGTGGATTACTTTATCAGATGTGTGTGCTTGGAACTTACAGAGATGTTATGAAGTCCATGAGCTTGCATTGATGTTTAGGCAGAAATTCCAAGGAAAGGGAAAAAATAAGTTGGCAAGAATATTGTTCACAGCTACTCTTTATTTCATTTGGATGGAAAGGAATGACACAGTGCATGATGATTTTTTCAAAGACTCACGAGATTTAGCCAAGGGTATTTTGTTTGAGGTTTTGGATGTCATGGGGGTATGCCTCCAGGACATTTTATAATATGTGCTTAGATTCAATTTGTTTGTGATCCCTTGTAAGGGTGCGCTTCTGTTTATTTGTTGTTTGGTGGGGGTATACCTTCATTTTTTACATGTACCATATTGGTTATATTTTAATACAATCCTTCATTTAGGAAAAAAAAAAGAAAAAGAAATGAAACATTCCATTTAATCAAGGGTACTGACCAGATTTTATGGAAACATGAGCTTGCTTTAAATCCTTTTGGAAACTGTGTAGAGTCCATTTACCCTTAAAGAGCAGGCCTGCTTCATGTTTCACAACCAGTCAAATACTGCAGAAGGGTGCCAAATCTCTCTAATTTGCAGAACAGGGTTTTGCTGAGAGCCTAATTGTTACAATTGTGTGAAAGACATTGATAGTGTGGAGCACCTTTTCTTTGGTTGTGAGTATGCTCAGCAGTTGTGGAAATGGTTTGGTGATCTGTTTCAGTGGAATTGAAGGCCTTTTGGCCGGCTTTTGGCACCTAAAAGATATGGAAGAAGCTGTTTTTGCTGCTCTGATATTCCTTGCTTCTGCTGCTGATGATGTACCGGGTAGTGAAATCGGAAGTTCAAAACAGTCTAGTACTCTTGATGAATCGGATTGATCGTGGCCAGTTTTGGGTCTCTTGATCATTTAACTTGATGGTTTATCTCCAACTCCAGAAGCAAATATCTGAGGAGTAAATTTCTCAGGCCCAAGCTCTTCAAAATGGTGTTTTACAGAATGCTTCACAGATTGCTGGGAGGATTATATCGGAGGTTGCTAATATGTTGGGGATCCATTTAGAAGATATTGTTGAAGGGTTTGTGGATTGATTTTGAGAGGTTGATGGTCAGTTATTTTCTTGTTTCTGGTGTTGAGAGGATGTTGTTCCTTTCTTCTTCTATTTTTTGGATTGTTCCCTTCAATGTTTCTTTTTTTCTTTTTCTTTTTTTCTCTCTCTCTCTCTATATATATACATATATATATAATCTCTGAGTTTTGGAGTGGGCATTTTTCTAAGCCTTTGTAATAGGTGGGATGCCTTCCTTTCTGATAGTGAATATTTTACTCATGGCCTTCAACTCAAAGGGAGCATGCAAGAATGGGGAGATAATATATTGCAATTTCAGATAAATGGAAGGACTTAAAACTTTAAAAAAAAAAAAAATTAAAAAGGAATAAAGAATGGGGGTTGGGGAAGACAAGAATAACTCACCAACATTAAGACAGCTGAAGAATCATCAGGCAGTAAGATAAAGCAGAAGCATCTTCAGCCAGTCTGTTTCCAAGATCTTGAGAGCGCCTCAGCAAAAAGTTGAAACCTGAAAATAGTAATTAATAAATAACCGACAAACTAGCAATTAATTATGGATGGATTCAACGGAAGATCTAAACTGAATGCATAAAATACAAACCAGATTTGAAATTTACCACTTAAGCATGTAAGGTTCATGTTATGACTCATAATTCTTAAGATTTACAGATATAATAGGGAAATTGAGCTATCAACACTTACCCAAGAAAGAAATCAACCCATTAATAGAGAATATTATCAGCACTTGAAAGTATAGGGATGAAGGAGAAAGGGATTTGTTTCACACGATTTCTGTAGCTCCTTTAGAATCTGTAGTAGAAGATATATTAAACAATATCAAGTAAATGTTCACTTAAGCCTATTTCCTTCACAATGTCGTCTCAATTGTATAAGGTAAGACATAAAATGTGCTCAATGGTGCTTGACGGTACACCTAAAGAGTGATCTTTCAGTTTTCCATTACCTGGAAGATGATCATTGTTGGCCTTTGACCCATTGCAGAAAGCACATAAGAACTCCATCTATATTTCAATTCATCCCCCAACAAAGGTGGTCTTCCCACTATTTGGAAGAAGGCCATCTTTAGCCATTTCACTAAGCAAGTTAAATACAGCATCCATGTTACCTTCTTTAAGATTTATCTCAACAAGGACTTTTGCAAGCTCAGCATCGCTAAGCCTGCAGCTATTTAATGTGTTCCTTGTAACCTCATTCAACTCCACACTCATACCCTTTTTGAAAAGCTCTTTAATCAGAGCAATAACAGTTACAGTATGAGGAACAAAACCAAACTGCACCATTTCCTTGTAGAGATTGAACGCTTTCAATAGATTTCCACCTCTACAATGACCGTGTATAATAACATTATAAACTGCTTCACTAGGCTTGTAGTTCCTCTGTATCATTGATTCAAAAACTCGATCTGCTTCATTTATCAAACCCTTCATACAGAATCCTTTCATGAGAGCTACCACACTCCTAAACTCACTATTACAACAGTTCTCTATCAGTGTATCATATGTGACATGATTTGAGACAGGCTCGTCATGAAACAACTTAAACAAAAGCTGCTTTGCATCCCTCATCCGAGCTTGCTTGCTAAGCCCATTAATTAGCACACTGTAGGTAACAGAATCAGGAAGGAAGCCCTTTCTGATCATTTCAGCATGCAGATAGAGAGCCTTTTCAATATCCCCTTCGTCACAATAAGCTTTGATCAGGGTAGTATATGTACATTCATCCAGAGGCAAACCTATTTTCCACATTTCTTGAGAAAGATCGACGGCTTCATTCAGTCTCCTCTGCTCGCATAGGCCATGAATCAGAGATGAATAGGTAATAGCATCGGGGGAAACTCCTTTATCCACCATCTCCCGCTTCATTTGAAATGCCTTATCCAAATCTTTATTTCTGCAAAACCCAGAAATGAGAGTACTGTAACTAACAACATCAGGTTCTAACCCTTTCCCCACCATATTTTGAATCACTCCTAAAGCATCTTCCATCCTGCCCAATGCACAGTGTCCATTGATTAATGCATTATAAGTCACAATTGAAGGTGAATATCCAGTGTCAATCATTTCTTTCAAGATCCGATGAGCTTCATCCATGAATCCCTTCTGGGAGAAGCCATCAATCAATGTTGTATATGTTCTCTGATTCGGACCTAATCCCCTCGCGTGCATCTGATCAAAAAAATCCATTGCGCGATGCAAGTTCCCAGCCTTACACATGCAATTAATTAATGATGTATATGTAACAACATTTGGAGAGACACCTTTGCTCACCATCTCCGCATGCAAAACAAGTGCTTGGTGAAAATTACCTTCTTTGCAATAACCATTCACAAGCGTATTGTATGTCACCTCATCAGGGACAAAACCCTTCCGCGTCATCTCATCAAGAACCTGACCTGTCTCCTTCAGCCTCCCTTCTTGACACAACCCATTAATAATCACATTGTAGGAAATCAAGTTTGGCTCCAGACACTTGGCTGACATTGAATTCAACACTTTCAACGCCTCATCGATTCGTCCCATTTTACAATAAGCATTAATTAAGGTATTAAAAGTAACCACATTCGGCAAACACCCATTTCTCTTCATTTCATTGAAGAAACCCAACCCCTTCTCCAATTCTCTAACCCCACAAAAACCCCAAATCAGTATATTATAAGTATACACATTCGGCGAAATACCAGTTCTAATCATATCATTGTACAAATTTTCAGCTAATTCAATGGAATGGCGGGACCTAACTACCACATCAATAACAGAATTATACGATAACACACTTGGCATAAAACCATGAAGCTTGGCTAAATCAATAGTATTCAGAGCTCTTTTGATCAGTTTCAAGTGAGAGTACGATTTTACCACAAGATCAAACACAGCCGAGCTGGAATTGCACAGTTGGTATGAGTCTTTGAGACATTGAAACACAGAACTGCCCGTGTCGTCGTCGTCGGAACCCAGGGCAAGGGATTCGGCAAGGGACTGGGCAGTCTTGTAGAGCTTGAACCTGGTGAGGACGTGAAGGGCAAGACACTTGCAACGGAAGTCGAAGAACTGGCATTGTTGGGCCCAATTGATGAACTTCAGGGTTAAAGTTTTGTCGAATTGGCATTCGAGAAGCAAATGGGAAGCTGAATGAGGAGTGAATTGAGAAGATAGTGGTTGGAGGTGGACTGGGTGGTGGCGTTTGAGGATGGCGATGGCTTTGTCGATGAGATGGATGTCTGGGCGAGAAGAGAGAGAAGAGAAGGTTGAAGAATTTACTGGAGGAAGATTGAGCAGTTGAGAAGTGCCGAGGAGGGGTTTGAGGAGGGGCATCGGCTGCTGAATCAAGAAGGAAGCTACAATTTAGGGTTTTGACTGTGAGAAGAAGCTACAAATAGATGGGGGCGCTTGGCCTCTGCTCACTGCAACTACAGAATATGGCATGTTACAGAATATTTAGATTTTTTAAAAGGGTTAACATCATAAAACCCTTTCCCTTCTGCTATTAAATTGGTGCAAAAAATCCAACTAAAATTAAAAACTCTTGAACCGAAAAATGTTACCAAGTTACCTTGTACCGGTATGACTAACTAATTTAATTTTAAAATGGTAAAATTAATCTTATTATTTAATATTAAATTAAAAATTAATATTTATTATTATAAAATTACGAAAATACCAGTAGTCTTCTTCCTCCTCTTCACCCCTTTATAACTTCGTCTACCATTCTCTCTCTAAAATAAGTCCCATCACACCAATAACCAGATGTTGGTAGCACCAATTCCAACACCCAAACTCGACCAACGCCACCAACAACCAGTTAGAGTACAGATTCTACCACGACCCAAACCAATACCAGACACCACCAACAACCACGTATTCCACCACCACCCAAAACCCAAACCAGTTGTAGCGATCATTTATTCTGTTGGCATAGATTTCCTCATCGATCATTTGTTTTGAAGGCTCATCTTCACCGTCCATGTCTCATCCCCGATGACGATCTATATATCTTATAGTTAGTTATATATATATATTGATTATATATAATTAGTTGTTATATTAGTGGAAGAAGTGTTAATGGAGTTTGACGATGAGCAAAAAGAAGAGATTAAGTTGCCACTGAGTTATGACTCGCTCGGTAATGCGTACCGACCCAATATGCCAAGCCCATATGGAGCTAACGCATCACGGTAATGTTTGCTCCATTTCGACGTTCAGTAGCCCCGAGGTGGTCGAATTGCAGGCGTGCCAAAGTCCTTGTGTTCTACGCAGACTCGGGGTGCTTGGGTGCTGAGTTAGTAAACATCAAGTACCTTTGGTTTAGTCCGCATCACGGATGGCATGAGCCTGAGTGCATCGAAGAGATTTCGTACAGGAGATTATGAGGGGGCAAAGGTGGTCCTCCCTCGTTGGTTGGTTATATTCGAACAGGTCAGTTAGAAGGTGTGGGAACTGGGAAGTGAAGCTGCCATTAGGTTGGCCGAATTGTAGACCCGCCCACCAACAACGAAGGGTGTGACCACAACCGCTATTGTGTTAGTCGAGGCTCGTACTTATCGTACTCATAGGAGTGGCAGTCCGATCTGCGCTAAGTGTCTGGCCATGAGTTTGACCGAGCTAAGGTCCCACGCGGGGGACAGCATGGTAGAAGCAATGGGTTCAACGAGAATCCCAAGGAACGTCCTTTCTTGAACTGGAGGATCGGCTGCGGAGTGGACTCACGTTGGGCAACAGGCCAATCACTACTTGGCCTATTACTCCGCTCCAAGTTTGGCCTTTAGGGCCTAACGTCGTGCTCGTTTCGCCGAACATGGGGTCTGGAAGAGTTCATCCTTTTTGGCAAACAAACGGCCTTCCCATTGTTCGGCCATTTATTGGTTGGCCCGGTACCGTTGGAGGGTGAGTTTTAACGGTCCATTTAGATACTTAACTAAGTAATTAAAGATAATGCATAAAAGTAAATAAAGCAGTAAATGACATGCAATTTAAGTGTCGAAAGAGATTGTGAGAAATTAAATGGCAACAGAATTGAAATGGTGAAAAGCCATTGGCTTAAAAGCTTCAGGGAAGCATTTAAAATACAATAAATTTAACAACATAAAAATAAACAAGCTGCGATAACTTGGAACAAAGCCATGGAGGTGTTTTTTGATCTATTGGGAGACCTTGATCTGTTTAAAGATGAAGCTTTCTCATGGAGGAGTCTCGGTGTGTAATACCCCTAATTTTAAAAGGACAGTCTTAGGATTTATTTAATTATTTTATTGTATTTTAATTGATTACGTGGCTATTTATTTATGTGTTTAATTGAAATAATTGTTTAAATAAAATTGTGTGCTAAATGATGTGTATTTATTTGTTTAAAAGCTAGGTGTTTATTTGTGACGACCCTGGATTTTTCAACCTAGTGTGTCCTGTGATGACCCAAAACGGATCCAAAATGCGGAAGTAAAAGATAGAATAATGGTCTTTAGATATACAACACTCCTCTAAGACACCAATGTGACCCTCGACGAGGTCACAAAACCCAAAGGAAGAAAATGCGGAAGCAACGTTTCAAAAACGGAAAAGAATGAACCTAGGGGCAAAATGGTCATTCCACATTGAAATGGGTGCCACCGTGCACACCATGGGAAAGACAATGAAACATTAATAAAGATAGACACAAGAATCACTTGATTCGGGGTTCGGACGGTAAAGATATCAAGTTCTGAAGTCGAAGGAAAGGATACCCTATCCCGGTTCGAACCAAAAACAGACACTACCTTACTAAAACTTGAATAACTTGAGGCACAAGAAGAATCTAAAGCTCTAATTAGTACCATTGGAAAGCTTATTTCGACGCGATCAATTTAGACTCAAGAACGGACCAATTCGGAGTTAAAACGAAGAACTTATGATAATTTGAAGTCGGAGGTGCAGTGCTGAACCAAGACACACACACACCCGTGAACAGTACTTCGAGCGCTCGAACAAGGACTTCGAGCGCTCGAAAATTGCCCTAAGAAATCTGCCCAAAGTTCGAGCGCTCGAACTCCCTATTTAGAGCGCTCGAACTCCTGTAGGCTGCGCCTGAAATACTGACTTGAAATGCAATTTTGAGGACTTTCTGGGCTTTTTTGAGAAAAACACAAAGAAGAAACTACCCTCAAAATCATGTTTCCTAGCTAACCATGCCAAAAGAAAACTTTATTTTTCAAGTAAAAACCCCAAAATGCCCTTATGCTCAGTTTAGGCTCAAAACGGCAAAAAATGTAAGTTTGCACCAAACATACTTTTGACCCCAAATACACTTCTAGGCTGAAACGAATATGCACGCAAACGTAATAAGTGATTTTGAGCACGCGGGAATGGTCCGCGGCTCCCGGAAACGACCGATGCAAACATAGTGAGATAATAACTTAACATTTTTTAATATTTTCATATTATACCATAAAGTCAAAACTACATAGGATGCAAATACATGTCATTGGCCTCCGGCCTCATCTTATACATGTCAAATACATTGTAAGGAGTGCACTCATGTACACATTACATGTTTAAATTCAAATATACATATTTTGACATATAAGGCTACAAGTGGCTTTTCGAGCCAACCTTTACAAGAAATGGAAATCTTCAAGTCCACCAATCATCCAAGCATGACGAGAATCGCAACCTTGATTCTTGTACCTGAAATATGCCCCAGTATCGTAGGGGTGAGTAACATAAAGCTACTCGTAGGAAATGAGTATGCATCGACCTACGTTTTACAAGTTTTGCATGATTTAATTATTGTGGTTCATTCCACCTAATGTCTATGTCAAATGTGAGACCCAAGGAGCATCCTAGCTACCTAGAATCATTTCTAGCATCAATCACCTCATTCATGCAATTTTAGCAACATAGGGTAATGCTTACACAAACCAACAACATAGGAGCATGCTTACACAAAGTAACAACATATAGATTCTCAAGGTAATCAACTTGAAGTCTAAAATGCAACATCAACTAAATATAACAATTTAGCATAATTAGAATATCTAATACCACACATCAAGACATAGGTTCTCTAGGTTATCAACTACAAATCTAAAAGTGTGAAATCAACTAAATATATCAATTTAGTATGGATGTACTTAACAACATCAAAATGATTCATTAAAATCATATACATGGATGTACTTAACAACATCAAAATCGCCAATAACTAAAACCACAAGTTACAATATAAACATGATTGTTAACTTAGAATTGAATGCGAAAACAAATAATGGAAAACTTGGACATTTACGCTCGGAATTCTGCCGGGACCTCAATGGTTTTTCCGGGCACTAACCCGCAGGGAAAACCACCCTAAGTGCGCACTATCTCAATGACTTAGAGGACTCATGTCCCTGTACTAGAGCCAAACCCTAGCCATCTCAACTCAACAAGGTTCCAAGATTCCAAAATTAAACCAAATAAGTTCATAACTTATACATAACTTATATAATGCATGAAAAACACCTTCCATGCACAAGTAGGTTAGAACCACACAATCCATGCCTTAGATTTTCAATTCTAAAATGACATACATAATGTCAATTACAAAGTGTGTAATTCACTACACATGGCATCAATATATTTTATAAAGAAAACATGTTCTCATGAATATAATTATAACAACAAAGTTGTCCAATGCTCAAAACACAACCAAGTGAATACATAACAAGTTCAAGTCCATGATTTGAATATAGAAACAACCTCTAAAATACTAATAGATCCATGGAGCCATTAGATAGAATTTAATTAAACAAGGTGATTAAATTCTCTAGATTTCAAATAACCTCAAATTAATATATGTTAAGCAACATATCATGGTCTTTACATATATCAAATCAAAAGTGCAAGATAAGCAAGATATCATCAAATATAATTTAATTAATTTAAATTAATTAAATCTCTAGATTTCAAAAGTTGTCCAAATGATCTCAAATTAATTTATATCAAGCACTAAATCATGGTCATATCATATATCTAGTCTAAGATGGATTACAAGCAAAACACAATTTACTATAATTTAAACCAAATTAAATCCATTTAATCTCTAGATTTGAAAACTCATCTAAATCAACCCAAATTAATATATATCAAAGATCAACTCATGGCCATGCCATTTACCAAGTCTAAAATGAGTTATAAGCAAACTACCATTAATCATAATTTCTCAAATTAATACACTACATGTATACAAGTTGTATAAGCATCAAAAACATGCAAGACAACAAACATATAACCCTATAACATTCCCTACCTCACTAGAGAAGTGTCTCTCTAGAATCCAAGGCAAAATCAACACAAAATGGCAAACCCTTCTAGGGTTATGAAGAGGAAGATGAGGGGAACAAAGTGTATTCCCAAGTTCAAGCTTGGAAATCAATGGAAGGCTCTCAAAAATTAAGGTCAAAGCTTAAGGCTTTAGGCTCCATCCATGGAGGCTAGGGTTTTCTTTACA